AATGATGTATTTTCAGAGACACATTCAACCCCAGCATTTCCAACTCTGTGTCATGATAAACCCAAAAAGTCTAATTTTTAAGTTTTTCTGTTAGCTAGAAATTGTTTTAAAATAAATCAATTCGAAAGTGCAGAAATACCTCATTTCTACAATACCACAATGTAAAGTGCTGCTGCCTTTGTTAGGTTTTAATGTTAACATTCCCTTCAACTTAAATCGACCAAGTGAAAAGCAATAGGAGCACTGCTGGTTGAAACAAAATGCCTTCCTCTTGTCACATCAATCCAGTCTGGCACCACTCAGAACAAGCTGAAGATGCCCAAAGCAGCCATGTGTTCTTCCTTCTATCCCCTGAATGCTGGTGTGAGCCCACAACATGTTATATTTTGACAGACTCCATTTTCCAATGCAAATGTGGTTTGGAGAAAAGCTCTGAGCCATCTCTGGGGAAAACGGCTCCAAAGGCTCCGTGCCGAGGCACATGAACACCCAGGCTGACCTGACTGCTCTCCTGTCAAAAACAGGCACAAATTCAGCTCAGGGAGGCACAAAAGACATTTTACCAGGGGTGCAACGACCTCTTCCTTGCTTTTCATATCCTTGTGTAACGATTTCATACTCAGATTGCAAGGGACTTTTTTCCCCTCCTTCTCTGTGCTCCAGGCCGTGCGGATTCTACCGCAACGTACACATTAAACAGTGGCTGGCAGTACTCTATAATCACCCAGGAATGCAATGGGAGTCACATGGGGCTTTGCTCAATACAGCTGTTCACTGGCCCAGCTGAACAATAAACATTTGAAGTATGGCAAATGTTCTTTGAGGGAGAAGGTTTGTTATTAGTGTAAATACAAAAGGACTCTTGAAATGGCCCAACGACTTCAGCTTCACTTCAGGAGTGCCCAAAGTTATGAAGCTGGAGAATAAAAAAGTTGAAAACCAAGATGTTATTTTCTTGTTATTCAAGCAGTGAGAATTCATTTAAAAATATCTGTATGACCTCAGGGGAGTCACAACCACAGAACCCAGAAGATTAAAGAAAATAAGCTTAAAATACCTTCCTCAAAGAGTCATGCATTTCTTTCCCAATTGTAAGAAGTGATGGGCAAACCTAAAAAGGTCCAGAGGTTTGGATACATCTCCAGAGCAGCTGATGCCTTCTTAAAATCCCCCTCAGGGAAGATTTCTGCTCACATTTATTAGGAACTAGGAAGCTGGTTAGGTTTGAGCTCATGTCTTTGCACTGCCAATCCGAGTCCTTCACTACCTGCTCCTACACAAATAACTGAGTCTCCAAATCCAACACCAATAGCAACAATGTTGGCCAAACCACAGAAGAGGTAAGAAGCTGCAAACAGTGAATATAAAGTTGTTCAGATGGTATTTTCTGTGGGAAGAGAGTCCTGGGAGAGATTAAAACCATAGTCACAAAACAGAAGAAAATAAAAGCTGGAGGCTTTCTCAGAGAGTGCAGTTTTCGCCATCAGAGATATTCTTCCTGTTATGTCAGACTACTCATAGCTGACTGCATTTGCACAGCAACCAGCCAGCCACTTTTTTTTTTTTAAAGTTATATTTGCTCTGAATTACATGTTTTCTGGTGTCAGCTTTAGAGGTAGATAAAACCTAGCTGCAGCAACAGCTTTTAAATCAGCTATCATATGTGCTTCAGTCAACAGAAACCTTTAATTAAAGCATTGAGTTACATGGGTTATGGTTACCATATAACTAGCAACATCTTCAAATATTTGGATTGTAAACAATCTTCATAACTTGGAAACAGGCATCATCTTTCCTACTTCACACTGAAGGCTTTGCAGGCATTTTGTAGAGGTTTGGCAACAGGGAATGACAGAAGGAAGTGCTGATAAGCTGCTGCAGCTCAGCAATAAGGTAGTACAGGGAAAATACAGTAGATATGTAATGGTTTGTGATCTCTTATTTTCCTTGCTTTGGAAAAAAAACCTCCAGGGTCTTTGCATTTATATTATCCCAGACCTGGATTTGATGGTGCACCAAGGCATGAAGCTCTCTAATGCTCTGGTTCAAAGTACAAAAGGATGCTGATTTTACAGTACTTACTAGCCAGCTGCTTTCAGTAGTATAGAGCTACTTCTTTATAGGTGATATTGTAAGCATCCTATTTAATCTTGCTCTTCACATTCAGGAGAAAGGACTTGCATATTAAAAAAGAGCACTGGACATTAGAAGGATTTACGAAGGAAAAGAACAACTGTAGAGATTCCTATTAGCTAGATGAAAAACATTAGATGCCCTAAATCAGGTATTCTGATTAGCATGCAAAAAGTATCTGCTCAATCTAAATAGGCTGAGCCTGCTAAAACACTCCACAGACCAGATGTAAAATGGTATTCAGACCATTACCGCCTACTAACTTTAATTTCTTACTCAATTCAAAGGAATAGAATTATGTATATCTCTACCTTTTTGTGAGCATCAATTACAAATGATTTCTGACCCATGTTCCTCTACCATCAATCAAGAAACAGTCTGTTGTCTATAAACCAACGCTAAAATACATGTCAAACAGGATTCCTCACAGAAGAACAGACAGCAGATGATGGTAGACATATGGCTACCTTTAGAAAATCCTGCCCTTATCCAAAACTATGAAATTGCTATATTTACCTGTTCCAAAAAGCACTCTGAAGTCTCTGGGTTTAGGCTTCACTTTAATGAAGCATTTCAGAAGAGGAAAATCATCCAAGTGTAAAGCCATGACCCAAACCGGAGCTGTACCTGCCACCAGTCCCTGGAGGAACATACATTTATGAGATCCCTGTCAGATCACAAGCTCATCAGGTTCACCAGAAAGTCTCTGCATGATAACAGCTGCCCTAGAGGAACCTGCTAATACCCACCCTAAGCTTCAGCTATAAACTTGATGTCTCCTCCATCTTTCACTTCTCTTGAGGGATGAGTCCAGCAGGCTTTCTCAGGTCATCAACTCCCAAAAATGACACTTTAGGGATGTCCCCTCCTCCCCCAGACTTTGAGTAGTAACTGTATTTTTATAGCAGCTGGTCTAGAAGGGGAGATTCAGCTCCTTTCTCAGCCCACCTCATACCTTCTCATGGGGCATTTAATTGCCAAACACAGATTTGAAAGAGAGTTGGTGAACAAAACAGAGACAAGTACAGCTCTGCACCTCTCCCTCTGGGGTAAAAAAATCCACTGTTCATAGCACTAGACAGAAAAAGGGAGAAAAGAACCAGTCAGGGGGCATCAGTCTAGAGCCTGGTCAGGCTGGACTGGTCCCTACTTCTGAGGCTGTGTTTGGGTTTTAATCAATAAGCACTCAATGTTAAGTGTATAAACAGCCACTGAAGGAGCTCCAATCTGGGCCAATGCCTAAGAGAATGCTATTAAAATGCAACAGACATTGCCTCATTAAGAACCACGCAGCACAAAATGTCCTATTTTGCAGAGCTAAGCATCAGACACCTTGTCTTGTCTTGGAAGGTTTTTAAAGGGTTATGGTATCATATTCACCTCAGTGGGGAGGTTTTCACTGACTCACCAAAGCAGGATCAGGTCGTTATGGCAATAGATCTTGCTAAAGACAGAGAGACATCCCTGATTCTGGAGTGGCCAGCACACTGCCATGCTTACATTTCTGCACTGGGCCACAGGACAGGAAAATGGGGAATATTGTTATTCTTCTGGCATCCCCAAGCCACATGACCATGCCACTTAAAGCACCACCCTTAGGCACTTCACATTTATTTGCTTGCGTGCTCCCTACAACAGGTATATTTCTGTTTGGATTTTTGGTGGGCTGAGCTTCTAAATCCTTAATCTCTGCATTGCTTAAAGAAGCAAGACTGTATTGTGTGTTCAAAGCAGCGGAGCTATAGCTAGAAAAGCCCCCTCCTCTAATTAAAACCACCCATTTACTTTTTGTGTACAGAAAAACATAACACAGCAGGAAACAACTGTCATATCAAATACCCCCTTATGGTAATTGTGGTTAAATACTGACTTTTTAATGGTAACATACTTATAGGGGTTTGGCAACAGATGCAAAAATAAGTAATCACTTTTTCTGGAGGGCTACCAAAATGGCAGGTTTCCCAAGTCAATCAGTTCTCCCAGGGACTGGGAATGTAGAAAGCAATTTAATGCTGCAAGGAATATGACAATCTATTTATAATGGCACAGTGTGAGAGGCTGAGAGGAGAAACTGCAGCTGTTGTATAAGGATTATAACTGACTGATTGTTTCTAACAAAATGTATTGCTATATCAAAAGGAAGTACAAGTTTAGCTGCCTGGCTGATTTTCCTTCCCATGTACAGGTGTGGTGCCAGCTTGAATGAAATCAGGCACCGAGGCTAAAAACGCCTCTTTGCAATCTCCCTCTTGACACTCCGGGGTAGCCTTTGTAAACTCTCTTGGGGACTCTCTGCATCAGAACCCACCCAGCCTTTGTTAAAGTGAAAAGAAAGGCTAGCCCAGATTCGGAAGACCCCACAGGAGCATCACGAGGGATAGAGAGCATCCCTGAGTGTTAAATAATAGTCCTCCCACTTCAGTTCTTGAAAAAGCTTTGCTTCCTGTTTCATATTTACTTCTTTTCCAGCTCCCATATGTATTTCTATGGGCTGTTGAATAACAGTCCCTCCATCCTAAGGGAAGGCTGCTTGCCAGCGCAGAAAAGAAAACGATTCCTGCATTCTATGTACAGCACATTACACATGCCAGATGTTATAATGACTATTATGTTTAGGATCAAGGACACAAAATACAGAAAACAGCAAAATTGTCAGAGCACCCAAAGCCACCCACTTTGAAGAAACCATGGTCCAGCAGCTGGCTCACCCCCAGGACACTTGGGTTCATACTGTGCTTTTCACCCTGGTTTGAAAAGGCCAAGGACTACAGCAGCAGCTGTACAAGGCTTCTCTAGCAATGTATGAAGGCCTGACATCCTTTGTAAAAAACTGAAATAGAAAACAGGCTTAGCAAAACATGCCTTTATCAAGTAGAATGCTAAGCATTATCTCGCTGTTAATATAAGCAAGGGGACTTTTTGCTTGTTGATGTGGTTAACCATAGTGCAGGGTGTAGTTCATCTTCAAAATCTGTGCTCATGCTTTCCCTGCAAGAAGATAATCCAAGCCTGATTATTTTTTTCCTACACCCTTATCTATTACATAGTCAGCTAAAATCTAAGAGACAGAGATGAGAAATCTCCTGCATGTAAATCACTCTATTTTATACCCTTTATGCCCTTGGAGCATGAATTTTCCATGGCCATTTGGTGGAAACAAACCTAGTCCTCAGTTTATGCATCCCAGTACCCCAACTTCCTGAAAGCCAGATACCAACAGATACTCAGGAACACTTGGGTCTCTTGATTATAAAGATGAAGGGCTGGTAATGACACACAGACAATCAGCACATCTCCCACTGCTTTGCCGTTCCCCATCACCTCAGGATCATTCTCTGGCACACAAAGGTCTGTTGCACACACTCAGGCTGTTGCCAGGGTGGTTATTCCTGTGGGTTGTTTCCAGCTAGCATGGTACATCTTGGATACTTGGCACTTCCACATGTATTTTTGCCCATCTGGAAGAACTCCCTGATTATTTGGCAGGTTAGTTACAGAGCCAACTAGTGACACCCAGAGATGCCACCACACCAGGTGGGGGTCACCCCAGCATTGAGACAAAGCCAAAGCAGACTGCAGCACATCACTAAGGACCAAATCAGCCACCAGCAGCCCTTCATTCCCACCTGGCTCTAGCATGGCAGGTCACCTACGCACACAAACCTTGCACCTGGTGGGGGTGGGGTTTTGTGTTGTTTGTAAAGAGGTTTATTGCTCTTTGAATCATACAGACAGCTGTGGCAATATGACTCTACCTGCTCTCCCAGCCCTGCCCAGTGGCACAGAGGGAAAATAATTTTTTCTTGCATTCTAGATGGGCAGCTGGGGCACAGGAATAAGATCTCCCTACAAATATACACAGAGTTCTATCATTTATACAGCACCTTTAAGATCAGGGATCTTAAAGCACTTCAAAATACCAAACATCACCAGACCCCTGTAAGGGCTGGAGTAGCAAAGGGAAAGTGGGAGAGAGCTCTTACAGTGCCTTGTTTCTGCAGGCTGGTGTAAGAACAATAAATAAAAATAAATAAAAATAAATAAAACATAGGTAACTTGAGAAACAGTGGGTGTATGGGGCTTCAGGGGATTTTTGCTTCTAGAAAGTTTCCACTTGCATCTTTCAAAACTTTCTCTTTCAAAACATCAATTAGAAGGTAATTTAAATGATGTTCACAGGGACAAAGTCCTAATCCTGGTGCCTTTTGGAAGCCTCAAGTCAGGCTCCACAGATCTGCTGCATGCACTGAAGATCTACAGCCACTGCCCAGTTACAATAACATGCACACAGATGGTCTGAATATACCAAGCAGCGATAACAAGAAGCCAATGCAATTATTCTTCACTCTTCAACACAATTCAAGTCATGCTTTAAAACTGAAGCTAATTTATGCCATTAAAAGGTACCTTTTTACCCCTTCTGATTAGTGCAACGAGGCCTTACTACAATTAAAATTAGACCTAATAGGTTTTCAGTAACTGAATAAAAGACCTCAATATTACCTACCCTTTGGCTTCAATCTCAACTGCAAGACTGCTATATTATCCACCTCCATACTATAAGTGGCCCAGGTATGTGGGATTTTCTCTCCTTCTCCCTCTCAACAGCTTATTTTCTGTGTGAAAGAAAACAGATCAGAGGCCAAAGGCAGCTGCAGCATTCTCCATCCAGCCAGGCTCACAGGGCACCTGCTGAGCATTTCTGCCCCCTCTTCAGCCAAGGCCCTCTAAGTGGTTGTGCCAGAGCACAAGCTCAGCTTCTCCAGTCCATGCCAATGTGTGGGAAGAAGGCATCACTCAAGGGGGACCAGGAGCACAAGCACACAGCAGGTGGGGATGCTATAAGCAATCAAGGTAAATCCTGCTGGCTTTGGAAGCTAAGAGAGAGCCCCAGGCAATCCCTGATCTGTGGTTCCCTCCCTAAATTGCACGAACCACCACCCTTTCCCAAAGCCAAAGGGCAGAAAGACAGCCACATCTGAAAGTCCATCCTCTCTGAAAATTTTTCCTGTGTAAGCTGGTACCTTCAGGTACAGGATCATAGCAAAAAACTTGTGGCACAGCATCCTCTTTCTCCTTAAATCCAAGAGCTTCACCCCACAAGACATCCTAGGTGCTCCTGAAAAAGAGAGGCCAAGCACCTAGAACCAGCCCTTCTGGGGTGGAGTGAGTGGGTGCCATGGAAGTACAGAAATTTATGGCAGCAGACAGGTACCCCATGGATTCAGGTATTCCTGGCAGTTCAAGGTATTGACAGCTACCTTATGTAGTTGTACCCTGCAGCTGCACCTCAGCAGCAGCTAAGCCAGGTAGAGAGGAGGAACAGCACTCCATCTGAAGAAACCTAGAAGCACTCTGATGAGGAATGCCCCCACCGAGATGGCTACTTCATTTTAGTAGCTCGATCCTGCACATATCTCTTCAACTGCAGTCTTTTTATTAGTCATATTTTCATAGGTGCCAAGAATCTAGCTACAAAGAACACTGTACAACTCAGGCATGGAAAAAGTTAGTTCTTTGTGGTACGTTGCATTTTAGATGAAAAACCACTTCCTCTCTTCCACAGCAAAGCAAGAAAGCGTAGGCTTTGGTTTTATCAGTCATTGCATCTGCGCCTTTTTAACAAGTTTAAAGTCTGTGAGCCAAAAATGTATCTTTCCCTCCTTGACACTCATGTAAATTTGAAACATGTATAGCTTTATTGGAGTTTACAATCATAAAAAATGATGAATGCTGGAATTTTTATTTTTTTTTTAATTCTACAAGAACAAATTGTTTCACAGAATAATGCGCTTTCTCTTGAGAAGTCTCAGAAGTTACTTCTCAAGCTACACCATCAAATCACGTGGATTTTCAATGTGCTACTGCACATGGATTCAGAGTGGGTTTCAGATGAGTTACCTGCTGTGGGATAACAGCATGGCTCTCTAGTGACAGGGGTGGCTGGGGAAAAGGAAGCACTCACTGTTGCTCACCACCCTTCTGGATGGTCCCTTCCAGTCACACCACAATCTGCTTTAACCATTTAAAGAACAAACCTTTTCCTCTTCTGGCATTTGTTATCTTTTCCACTTCTTGTTATTACAACAGAAACCCACAAGTATCTATTTTAAGGTTATCTTTACACTGTGAATTTTCACTAGGAGATTTAAAAAGGTTGGCAGTGGGGAGATGTATCTTACTGTCCTTTATCTCATGCCTAGACATTCAGGTATCTTCAAGAGGTATATTAGTTCTTTATTATCTTTCCTCAGTTGAGCTAAGTGTAATTCTCAGTGTATTTCTGTGGCTATCCATAACTTTTTTATCTGCCTCTCTGCTTAGCTAGCTGTCTGGTTTGATATTTCCAGTTTGCACTTAGCCAGGCTGGGTATTCCCCCTTTGTCTTTCTCCATAATCATATGCATCAATCAGAGCCTTTCTTATTCTTTCTGAAGCAGATAGGGAAGAAATATAGATGGAGCCATGCTCACCAATGCTTCCAAAGAAGAAATCAACACCACACAAGAGGCTCTGGCTGCATCAGCCTTAAGATGTGGTAATTTGAAACAGAATATAGGTCTATAAAGTATTAAAAAAGCCCCAAGTAATAACATCTTGTACTTATGTAAGAAAAACGTTGACCTCTTAGTAGGAACTACAGTATGGCTCATAACAATATATCCCTGTGAGCTAAAGGCCTGGTTTTTAATGTAGTCATTTAACCGATGAATAATTTCAGATGTAGAAAAGACAAAATAATTTATACAGATATTACACACATTTTGGTAGCAGAACAGGAAACGCTGCCCAGGTGACCTTCTTTAAGGATGAGATTTTCACATACCTAAGTTGTTAATAACTGCTGCAATTGTTAAGGGTATTTAATTAATTTGTTTTAATAAAGCATGACAGTAGCTGATGAACACTGCACCAGAATGTCACTGCTATCACTTTCCCTCTGGCACCTCAGCTTCCTGGTGTTCAGAAAATAGTTTCAGCATTCCCATCTGAGTTTTTCAATAACAAATCTCAGATCTGTAGTCAGCCTAGAATATTATATTACCAATCTTCTTCAGAAACATCATCATTCACACATCCTGCACCTACTGACTAAGTAGAAGGCAAAACCATCCGTCACTGGAATTAGTCTCCCACACAGCTGTCACTTGTAAGAAACAGGGATCCTGTGCTTCTTTCCCAGTCTCCAGTCATTCCCATCTCTTGATACCTGACATGGAACACATTGTTGGATGACACCCTCCAATTCCCTTTGCCCCAGAATTTTGCCCTTACAAGCCTGATACACCAAAATCCTTGGCCTGTTTCTATGATTACTGAATAGTCTCTCTACCATGCTGCTGGTTTTCCACACTCAGAGTTGTATTTTGTAACAATATTTTGTATGAAGTTATTTTATATAAAAGGTTGAGCTCTGGGGAAAATTTAAGCTATACCCCTCCAGGAATTACTGAGTTTGTTGACTGTGAGGAGAAAAAAAAAAAAAAACAACCAAATTTTCAAACTTTTTAAAAACATTTTAAACAAGTACAACTAATTAGAGTATGATCAAAGCCAAGTGAAGCCCTCTGGAGCAGCTGCATTCCCTATATTTGTGAAAATCAGGCCATTTAGATAGTTATTTAAATAAGGACTATTGGAACTAAGCCAAAGCCCTTTGAAATCAATGGGATTTTTTAATGACTTCAATGCAATTTGTATAATAGCTTTAGAAAATAACCTATTTTATTTAATTCATTGTTGCTGCTGACTGTCACAATATAGACTGAGATATTTTTCAGTTGCAAAATCTACATAGGGAGAATAAATTCACACAAAATTGCTTAAGTTGAAAGAGACTTCTTGAGAACATCTAGTCCAAGCCCCAGCTAAAGCAGGGCCAGCTACAGCATGTTGCCTGAGACTGTGTCCAGTTGGGTTTGGAGTATCTTGAAGTATGCAAACTCCATAACCCTTCTGGGAAACCTGTCCCAGGTACTGTTTAAGTACCCTCACAGTTAAAAAAGCCAAAACAACCAAATAAACCAAGCATTTACTCCTTTCCCCTTGTCCACCAAGGTAGCAATAACCTTGTAAAAGGAAAATGGGTTGCTCAGGGGTGATTTCATCTTTATAATCAATCCATGCTGACAACCCCAAATGACCTTGTCCCTTCATGTGTTAGCAAATACATTCCAGGAAGTTTTTCTACTTCACCCTCCCAGGCATCAAGGTGAGGATGATTAGCCTTCAGTTTCTCAGAGATCCTTCCTGCCTTTCTTGATACTGAAGCTCTAAAGGATCTTCAGGAACCTGTCCCAGTCATAATGACCATTTGACATATTAAAGATAGTCAATGGCCTTGCACTGACATCAGCCAGGTCCCTCAGCTCTCAGGGGTGCATGTCCAGTGTGGTTAAATGCCCCCTAGGCTGAGTCTCCTCCACTAAGTCCTCCTTATTCCAGACTTTTCCTCTAGCCTCAGGGGCCTGGGATTCCCAAAGGATAATTTTACTGGTCAAGTCTGAAGCAAAAACATCTGCTGTCCTTTGCTTGTTTTCCTTCTTTTCGGAATGGGCCCTTCTTGAGCTTGGAGGAGGGGATCCTTGAATATGACCCAGCTCTCCTGCACCCCTTATCTCTCCAGGGCCATGTCCTATGGGATTCTTCCAAGCAGCTCTCTTAGGCTGAAGTCTGCTATCCAGAAAACCAGGGCTTCTGTCTCAGTCTTGTTCTTCCTTGTCTGTATCAGGTCCAGGACATCACCTTTCCCTGTTGGCTCCCTGACTACTTGTGCCAGAAACATCACCAGGATACTCCAGAAACTTCCTAATTGCTTGTGCCCTGCTGTATTATTCCACCAGCTATTTTGTGGGTCCCCCATGGGGTGAGGGCCTATGAACATGAGGCTTCTTTCATTTGTCTGAAGGCCTCAACTATTACTTCTTCCTAATCCATAGCAGATGCCCATTACAACAGCACCCGTATCAGACTGCCAACTCCTGGCCCATTCCAAGGCAAAAGTTGTCCTAAACCTATTTACAAGTTTCTAGAAATAAGAAAGGACAATATTTCTGTAGTCACTTCTACTTAAAAAGAAAAATAAAACCCAAACAAAACAACACCCCAAAAAACACAACCTGCAACTCTGGAACTGAGCGCACTTTTTGCCATTAGACACAAAGGGACACTGGAGAAGTTCATTGTGCTAGGTCAGCCTTCAGTTTTAGAATGTCATGCCTGGCAACACAAATGTGTGATTACACACTCAAAGGTGGCTTAACTCAAGGTTTTCTATCTGGCCTTTGATGAAAATGAACTTGACAGCGATGCTGCAGGCCCAAACTATATCCCACCAAAATGTTCCACTTTAGAAGTAGGAGTAGTTTTGGAGAGGCACAGATAAATTGGAAAGGAGCTCTGGGGGTAGCCTGTAATGATGAGTTGAGGGAGCCAAAGTGCTGGAGAGCTGGTGATGTCACAGTGAGTCCGGCATGTCCCAATGCATTGTCACTGTTGTCCATGGCACGGTGCTGGAGCACCCTGTACACACAGGGAGCCATGCGTGCCCTGAGGCCTACAGGACAACATGCCTGGCACTCCAGCCCTGAGAGCAACACACAGGAGTTGTAACCAGGGTCTGCAGAGAGTCCAGACCACCAAGTCAGTCCAGAGTGACAAGGCTGTTCTGAGGTCAAGCTGGAAAGTCCAGCCCAGGGATGAGGATCTGGCCTTCAATCAACAGGGCACCTGGCCAAGTGCAACAGCAAGTTACAGAGGTACTCCCAAGCAAAGGGAGTTGATGCCTCTAAGGATAGGAAACAAATCCATGCTCACCAACCTGCAATGGTCAGGGCTATCACCCTCCAGGAAGAGGCAGGAAATCCAGAGACATCTGGATATAGGAGAGACTTCCTTTTGTGAGGCAGCATTTTGCAGAATAAAACCATGGAATCATTTAGGCTGGAAAAGACCTCTGAGATCACAGAGTCCAACCATAAACCTAACACTGCCAAGTTCACCAGAAAAGCCTAAAAATATCTTAGCCACAAGTGAAAATTGCTATTTTCCATTAATTTTGATACAGTGAGATCCCTCTCAGGTCTTGTTTCCCTGCTTCCCAGCCTCTCCTTTACTTCACAAGGCTATTTTCTGTTGCTCTAATAATAGATCACGCTGTAATTCTCATGACTAATACATAATTCTTGATGCAATCCAGGTCCTACCTCTGCTTGTCTGGAGTTCAATCTTGACTGTCTAGCAATTGCTGAAAATGAAACTCAGGCAGAAACTAAGCCATGCTTGACTGAGCATAGAATTTATTGTTCAACTCCCTGTTTCTATTATATATGACTCAATTATCATCTCCTGCCTCTTTCAGAAATCTGGATATGCACAATGATAGATATCACTGAGACCTCACAAGAAACAGGATGATCCTGTGCCTGAATCTAATGTTCTTCTTTAGTTTCTTGTTTTATTCGTGTATGAGAGTCCACTATTTTTTACATATCTGAATTTTTTACATATCTGAATTAACAAGTCCTAGTTGACTTATTTCCCAAAATACTGTTGCCTTGGTTAAAGACCCACAATGGTCTTTATGGAAGGTACCACTCTACCCATATTTTAAATATGGGTAATACCCATAATTTGAATATGAAGGTTTATTTGGCATATTATCTGAGACCTCAGCCTGCCCATTTGACGAGCATTTTTAAAGACCTAAATGTTGTTTTACTGCATCATTATTAGGACATTTGAGATGTAAGAGCTCTACTGCTTTCTCCAGCCAGGAGGAAGTGTGATTTGTGCAGTTCAGCAATTACACAATGACCTTTCAGCAGGTGGAAAAGAAAGGGCAAGTAGAAGGCTGCATCACAGCTGCATGCTTTTTATAAGGTCATTTTTATTATATAAAATCTGTCTACCCATTTACAGATAATGTATAGTATGAAATATCAATACATACATAAAAGTTGCATTGATTCCCCCCTCACCAGCCCTATTGTTTATGTAAAGATTTCACAGGGACATCTGTATTTTTGGAAAATGCTTTAAGGCATTTCTGGCAAATATACCGCAAATATGGAAATTGATTGATTGACCTCGTTGTGAGACTAGTGTTAACAAAACCCACTGGCAAGTTATCAAGAGGCATAAAACAATGCCATCTCTGTCCTTTCCCCAAGAGGCAGAAGCACTTACCCTTTGCAGAAGATCATTTGCAAGTCTCAAGGTCACGGTGGGTAAATCTCCATCACCCACTGCTGTCTGTCCTTGACTGTCTCGCTGCCCGCTGTCTAACCAGCAGTGATATAAACAGGTGATCAGACTGGTGAGGCTCACCAGCAAAAGCATGTCTGCTGTGTACTGTGGCTACACAAAAACAAGGTACGATCCCAGTGCTTTGGAAGTGGCCCTTCGTGCCAGGCAGTTTTGGCTGCAGTGTCTGTGAAATGGTGGAGTTCAAGGTCCTTAGGGCAGCAAGAATGGTGCACAGCAAGCAGGACCCCTTACTTCAGGAGAGCAGATTTTGGCCTCACCAGGGACCCTCTCATGGTAGAGAACATTGGGGTAAACCCCATGATGGAAGAAGGGTTGGATGGAAAGTAGGCTGATATTCAAGGATCACTTCCTCCAAGCTCAGGAGAAGCCCAAAAGAGAGGCAGTCAGAGAAAACCAGTAGGGGGGTAAATGAACAAGGAGCTCCTGGACAAATTCAAATGCAAAAAGGTAGCTTGCAGAGGGTGGAAGCAAGGACAGGCAGCTTGGGAGGAATACAGAGAAACTGTCTGAACAATTAGGTAAGGAATCAAATCTGGCCAGGGATGTCAAAGGCAACAAGAACAACTTCTCTAGGTACATCTGCGATAAAAGGAAGCCTAGGGAAAATGAAAGCCATCTCCAGAAGAAAACAAGAGATTAAACCTGATTATCCAAGACATGAAGAGGGAGCTGAAGTAACATGTTTGCCTCAGCCTTCACCAGGAAGCACTCCAGCCACACCAGCCAAGTCACAGAAGGCACAAATGGGGACTGCAAGAACAAAGAGCCACCCACTGGAGGAAAAGATCAGGTTCAGGAACACCTAAGAGACCTTAAGATGGATAGAGGAAGGAATACAAGTCTGTGGAGTCTAATGAGACAAATCTGTGGGTCCTGCAGGAATTGACAAATGAAGTGGCCAAGCCACTATCAATCACAGTTGAGAAGTCATGACAGTCCACTGAAGTTTCCACTGATGAGAAAAGAGGATACAAAACTCCCATTTTTAAAATGGGAAAAAAGGAAGGAATTTCAGGCTAGTCAGTCTTACCTCAGTGACCAGCAAGCTCATGGAGCAGATCCTCCTGGAAACTCATAAAGCACACTGAAAATAAGGATGTGCTTACTGCCAGACAAGATGTCTCTGTTAAGGGCAATTTGTGCCTGAGAAATTTGGTGACTTTTTATTATGGAGCTACAGTGTTGGTGGATAAGAGGAAAGAAACTGACATCATTCACCTGGACTTGTGAGACATGATGGATGAACCATTCAGTGGAAAAGGAATTGGCTGGATGATCAGACTCAGTTGTGATCAACAGCTTCATAGCCAAGTGGAGACCAGTGACAAGTGGTGTTCCTCAGGAGTCAGAATTGGAACCAGCACGGTTTAATGACTCTGTCAGTGACATGGAGAATGGGATGGAGGGCACCCTCAGTAGGTTTAATGACACCAGGCCATGGGTGTGGTCAACACATGGGAGGGAAGGGATGCCATCCAGAGGGACCTTGACAGCTGGAGAGGTGGGCCTGTGTGAGCCTTGTGACATCCAACAAGGCCAAGGACCAGATCTTGTGCATGTGTCAGGGTAATCCCAAGCACAAATACAGGCAGGGTGGAGAATGGATGGAGAACAGCCCTGAGGAGGACTTGGGGGTGTTGGTTGGTGAGAAGCTCAGCATGACCTGGCACTGTGTGCTCACAGCCCACAAAGCCAAACATGTCCTGGGCTGCATCAAAGGAGATGTGACCAGCAGGTCAAGGGAGGGGCTTCTCCCCCTTCCCTGTGCTCTCCTGACACCCCACCTGGAGTGCTGTGTCCAGCTCTGGGGCCATCAACTTATAACAATGTAGAGCTATTGGAATAGAGTCCAGAGAAGGGTGATAACGAGGCTCAGGGGGCTGCAGCACCTCTCCTGTGCAGACAGGCTGAGAGCTGGGGTTGCTCAGCCTGGAGCAGAGAAGGCTTCAGGGAGACCTTGGAGCACTTTCCAGTACCTAAAGGAGCCTACAAGAAACCTTTGAGGGACTTACAAGGGCAGGCAGTGATAGGAGAAGGGGGAATGGTTTTACAGTGGCAGAGGGCAGGTTCAGGTGAGATCTTACGAGGAAGCCCTTGATTGTGAAGGTGTCATGTTGTCCAGAGAAGCTGTGGAGGCCCCATCCCTGGAAGTGTTTAAGGCCATCTTGGGTGGGGCTCTGAGCAACCTCATCTAGTGGAGGATATCCTTGGCAATGGCAGGGGGCTGGAACTAGGTGATCTTTAAGGCCCTTTCCATCTCAAACCATTCTATGATCATAAATCACCGCTGTCCACTCTTTAATTTCCCTATCTATATGCTCAAGAGCCTCATTTGATTTTCTGCCACATTATCAGATTGGAGCTTGTGTTCACTTACTCCTTAAATCCTTTTAAAGCTTGCTGCTTTCCACAATATTATTAGTCATTCTGTAAGGTTTGTCTACATTTCTCTGTGTTCATTACTTTGAAAATGGTTGCAAAAACATCCTTTGTTTCATTGGGGCACAGTAAAAAGATAATTCACACTACTCAGTGTAGCTAAAAAATCCTTAGCATAATTCACCAGTACTAGTCAGGAAAAGAATGTTGAACTGGAATATGGAGTTTCCATAACTGAAATGTTTTGGGAAAACAGCTTGATTCCAGCAAAGTTGTAATAGAAACCAGGCACAATATTGTGGAAATGGGAACCACAGGCCTTAGAGGGGTCTTCATCCCTGCTTTCCTGCACGAGAAATGTAAAAAGTTATGCATTTTATTTCAATTCAGAGTGTTCCAGCTGTAACATACAACAAATTTTGAAGTCCTGGTCCTCTATGAAAAAAGATCACTTTTCTCCAGAGCTCCATCACTTGCCCCTCTACCAATCTTTGTACCATCTGTAGCTTTTCCCTAGCAAGCTGGAAAAGCCATTGTTTATATGAAAACTAACATAAGAAATATCTTCAACATCTTTTTAATCTGTTTTCAAGGTAGTTTAGCAGCTGGTGACAAGGAGCTGAGCCAGCTCAAGAAACTCAGCCAATTCTGTGGACCATCAGCAAGTGATGATGCTTGTTTCCAGAGTGAGAAATCCTACACTGTTTGTTTCTGTTTACCCTTCTGGTGCTGCCTGCTCATTAAGATTCCTGAAAGTTGTGTCAGTTAGTCTTGTATTGTATTTC